GAGATATAAGCGACTATTGGCAGAAAGGTGGGCTATGCAAAGATGAGTATGGGGGGGTTGAAGAGGGTTGGAATAGTTTTAAAATGCAGTATTAGAAATGTGGCAGAAGTTTTGGTTAAAGGAGGGTGGGGGGCAGAGGAGAAAGAGGAGTGATTGGTGGAATGATGAGTAAAGGGTGTGATAAAAGAGAAAAAGGTAGCTTATGAGAGGTTTTTAACAAAGCAGAAGTGTTATAAGAAGAGCAGAGTATATGGAGAGTAAAAGAAAGGTAAAGAGAGTGGTGAGAGAGTGCAAAAGGAGAGCAGATGATAGAGTGGGAGAGGCACTGTCAAGAAATTTAATGAAAATAAGAAAAAATTTTGGAGTGAGTTAAACAAGTTAAGAAAGCCTAGGGAAAATATGGATTTGTCAGTTAAAAACAGAGTAGGGGAGTTAGTAGATGGGAGATGGAGTATTGGGTAGATGGCGAGAATATTTTGAGGAACTTTAAATGTTAAGGAAGAAACAGAGGCAGTAATTTCATGCACTGGTCAGGAGGTATACCATCTTTTAGGAGTGAAGAAGAGCAGAATGTAAGTGTGGGGGAGGTACGTGAGGCATTACGTAAAATGAAAGGGGGTAAAGCAGCTGGAACTGATGGGATCATGACAGAAATGTTAAAAGCAGGGGGGGATATAGTGTTGGAGTGGTTGGTACTTTTGTTTAATAAATGTATGAAAGAGGGGAAGGTACCTAGGGAATTGGCAGAGAGCATGTATAGTCCCTTTATATAAAGGGAAAGGGGACAAAAGAGACTGTAAAAATTATAGAGGAATAAGCTTACTGAGTATACCAGGAAAAGTGTACGGTAGGGTATAAATTGAAAGAATTAGAGGTAAGACAGAATGTAGGATTGCGGATGAGCAAGGAGGTTTTAGAGTGGGTAGGGGATGTGTAGATCAGGTGTTTACATTGAAGCATATATGTGAACAGTATTTAGATAAAGATAGGAAGTTTTTATTGCATTTATGGATTTAGAAAAGGCATATGATAGAGTGGATAGAGGAGCAATGTGGCAGATGTTGCAAGTATATGGAATAGGTGGTAAGTTATTAAATGCTGTAAAGAGTTTTTATGAGGATAGTGAGGCTCAGGTTAGGGTGTGTAGAAGAGAGGAGAACTACTTCCCGGTAAAAGTAGGTCTTAGACAGGGATGTGTAATGTCACCATGGTTGTTTAATATATTTATAGATGGGGTTGTAAAGGAAGTAAATGCTAGGTGTTTGGAGAGGGGTGGGATAAATTATGGGGAATCAAATTCAAAATGGGAATTGACACAGTTACTTTTTGCTGATGATACTGTGCTTATGGGAGATTCTAAAGAAAAATTGCAAAGGTTAGTGGATGAGTTTGGAATGTGTGTAAAGGTAGAAAGTTGAAAGTGAACATAGAAAAGAGTAAGGTGATGAGGTGTCAAATGATTTAGATAAAGAAAAATTGGATATCAAATTGGGGAGGAGGAGTATGGAAGAAGTGAATGTTTTCAGATACTTGGGAGTTGACGTGTCGGCGATGGATTTATGAAGGATGAGGTTAATCATAGATTGATGAGGGAAAAAGGTGAGTGGTGCGTTGAGGTATATGTGGAGTCAAAAAACGTTATCTATGGAGGCAAAGAAGGGAATGTATGAAAGTATAGTAGTACCAACACTCTTATATGGGTGTGAAGCTTGGGTGGTAAAATGCGCCAGCGAGGAGACGGTTGGAGGCAGCGGAGATGTCCTGTTAAGGGCAATGTGTGGTGTAAATATTATGCAGAAAATTCGGAGTGTGGAAATTAGGAGAAGGTGTGGAGTTAATAAAAGTATTAGTCAGAGGGCAGAAGAGGGGTTGTTGAGGTGTTGGTCATTTAGAGAGAATGGATCACAGTAGAATGACATGGAAAGCATATAAATCTATAGGGGAAGGAAGGCGGGGTAGGGGTCGTCCTCGAAAGGGTTGAGAGAGGGGGTAAAGGAGGTTTTGTGGGTAAGGGGCTTGGACTTCCAGCAAGCGTGGCGTGAGCGTGTTAGATAGGAGTGAATGGAGACGAATGGTACTTGGGACCTGACGATCTGTTGGAGTGTGAGCAGGGTAATATTTAGTGAAGGATTCAGGGAAACCGGTTATTTTCATATAGTCGGACTTGAGTCCTGGAAATGGGAAGTACAATGCCTGCACTTTAAAGGAGGGGTTTGGGATATTGGCATTTTGGGGGGATATGTTTGTATTTTTATATGTTTATGCTTCTGATGTTGTATTCTGAGCCCCCTCTGCAAAAACATGATAAGTGCGAGTGGGGTGAAAGTTTTGAATGATGTAAAGATTTTCTTTTTGGGTTTTTCTTTCTTTTTTGGGTCACCCTGCCTCGGTGGGGCGCCGACTTGTTGAAAAAAAAAAAAAAAAAAAAAAAAAAAAAAATATAAATATAATATATATATAGGAGAGAGAAGAGAAAAAGAGAGAGAGAGAGAGAGAGAGCTATCGGAAAAAATATACCCACTTTGCCTTTTATAATTAACTCACAATCATTTAAACTTGTCTAATGCCAAAAAACTCACTAAATTTAGATTTATAAGTTCCAAACTTAAGTTATTAAAAAAATTTTTTTTTTTTTACAGGGGTTGGGGTAGGGCTAAATTTGGGCACAGTTGGGAGCCCGGGGTGCAGCATGAGGGCTCCCAAACAGAGTGAAGGCGAGTTCCCCTTACCCGGCCATACACAACACTCCGGGCAGAGCCAACTCAAAAGGAAAAAGATAGCAGGAAAATTTTTCCGCTGTGCTGGTGTTTTCTTCGTCGGGTGATTTCTCATACTATTTTTATTCATGTGATGTCAGCTCACTTCAGGGAACGCGGCAAACCCCTCTGGGTATTCGCTCCCTAAAAAAAATAGACCATATAAAATGTCGTTTTTTAAACCATGGGGACACCCATTCGTTTTGCACTGCAGAACTTCTCTTCTTATGATTGATACACAAAATGGGAAAACAGATTATCTTACATTTACATGTCCCCTCAAAAAAGGTTCTTGATTCCGGGGGGGAGGGGGCTTTTTAATTTAAAGGGAATGGACTAATCCCTCCCTTTTTTGGGTCGAACCTGAAAATTTTTCCCCTTCCCCCGGCACCCGAAAAGCCCCCCGACATGATTGACAGTCTTGTACCAAACAAATTATAAATTTTAAAAAACAAAACTAACCTTTGCAAAAAAAATAAACCTTTGTTTGTTTGTTTTTACTGATCCCGTGAGTCACGCCCCCCCCGATTTAAAATAATAAATTTAAATTTGTATAAAAAAAGGTTGCGTTTGTATTCACAAAGGTTTATATATTTATATATTTCGCTTGGGTTAAAGTACTCCTAATATTTTCTTGAACGTTATTCCCCTCCAGAATTAGGGTTTTAAATTCTGAATTACAATTAAAAAACAAAAATTTTTTATATAAGCTTTTTAAACGAATTATCATTTTCTTGGGAAATACTGTATAAATTTTCCAAAAACTAATTTAAAGTAAATGAGCCCCATTTTGTATTTTTTTAAAAAAGTATGTTTTTCGAAAAAAAGAAAACAGCGCCATTTTTGGGTTTTTAAATTGGATACAACGTTAATGTAAAGGGAAAAATTTTTTGTCTTAAGGTTAAAATTGGGTTACACCTCTCAAAAAAGGGGAAATTGTTTTATTGGGATTCCCCCTAATTTAGATATCAGGCGACTGGCAAGACCTCCAGGAAAACCCCAGATAATTATCAGTAAATGGCCCCTGTTTTTTCATAGTAGACAGTGAGGTTTTTTTGGATGAGTACATAATCCCAAAATTTGGGGAGTGTATTTAAAATTATTTTCGTTTGTTATTAATTTTGTATATATAAACCATTTTTTATTTTTAAAATACATCCCAAAATTTATAAATTTTTTCCATACCCGGTTTTACTATTTCATTGGGAATTAATAGGGCCCCAAACAACTTTTGGATATAAGTGGTAGGGATCGAAGGGGGGCATTTTTTTCGCCTAGGTTCCCAAATTCCTCAGCAATGAAAAATATAATCATCTTTTTATTTACTGTTATGTATAAAAGATACTTTAATAAATGCAATTTTCCACAACTCTTACAGTTTTTATTTTTTATATTTAGCAAAATTAGATACATTACATTGTGCTACTACCTTGATCTTGATCTCCGTTTTATTTTGCAAAGTTAGAGCAAGAATTATTGTTTACCTAACACACCATCACTAAAAGAGTTGTTTACCTAACACACCATCACTAAAACGAGTTGTTTACTTAACACACCATCACTAAAACAAGAGTTGTTTACTTAACACACCATCACTAAAACAAGAGTTGTTTACTTAACACACCATCACTAAAACAAGAGTTGTTTACTTAACAACATCATTAAAAATAATAATAGTTATAAATGACCATAATGGTTATAAATGACCGGAAGGTCTCGGTCAGATGACCAAAAGCTCCAAAGGCGGGTCATCATCTGACCAAGACCCGCGTCAGGAAATACTTGTCTTGTTTCCTGACGAACCTTACCTAACCTAACCATCATTAAAATAAGCTGTTTACCTGACACATCACTAAAGAGTTGTTTACAAGACCAAGAGCTATGTTTATTTAACACATCACTAGACTAAGAGTTGTTTGCCTAACACCAGAGCAAGAGTTATCAAGCTACATTGTTAATGCCATGGTTTCTATGCATAAATTCCCAGTTCAACTGAAATTTTATATACTGTAAAAAAATCTTATTCTATTGCCGGAAAATGTCGTGCCCATATGACAACAGGAAAATGCAACCTCCCTTCCTGTAAGTTTTTCCACCCTGAAATGTGTCACTTCAGTTCAGGAAAGGCAATGCTATAACTTATATTGTCAAACACACCACCTAAAGTGGACATGAAGATACAAAAACATCCAGACCATGGGAAAACCTGAGCAGCCTCAATCACTGCGTTTACCTGTGTTACAGGACATGTTAGTAGAGCGGTTAAGGACTGCCCTGGAGAGAGAGAGAGCTACGCTGACCGCTCTTCACACATCCATCCAGGAGGAGAGAGAGCTCACACAGGCGTCCCAAGCAAGAGCTAGGATACAACATGATGAACTGATGCAGCTGGGTGAGAGAGATTTTGTATATACTTATGAGCATTATGTCCATACTCAGTTATTTTTTTTTTGATCACTTTCTCTGGATTGTTAGTTAGTTAGTTTAATATGTTTATTATGCACCCCATACCCATCCTGTGGGCGGTAGTCAAAAGATTACAGAGGTACATAATGGGTCCAGGGACTGGGCCTCAAAGTTTTGATAGCTGAGCAAGTTGCAGAGGTAATGAATTCACAATTTACATGGATTGTACACGATGAATGTTAAATTATAAAGGTAATGCAGTAAGTGACATATTTGAGAAAGTACTAGGGTCCAGTTCGTGATTAGCAGCACGGCTTGAGTCATCCCTTAATTATTTATGTCATCTCTTATTACTCGAGTTACTTGACCAGTATCTTTTTTTGCTCGAGTCATATTTTCATTTTTCATTTTATTAAGTCATCCTTTGATTACTTGGGTTATCTTCTGAGTGTGTTACAGTGGAAAGTTTAATTATGATTCCCTTTTTGTGCATTTTGCCACATATCTTTACTCAGAGTGTGAGAGTGTTGGGGTGAAACGAGCATGGGAGACTAATGTAGTGACGTTACAGCGACGCTCACAGGAACATACCTACGCCCACCAGCATCTGCAGGAGCTCCTGGCTCAGCAGGCAGGACTCCGAGCACAGGTAAGTCATTATTCCTCTTCTACGTGAACGAAACCACTTAAAACGTACGAGAAAAATCGTTGCCCAGAATGTTTGGGGTCAATATTTTCTCTAGCTCCTCGGAAAAAATGGGTTTTACGCAAAATTCAACTCAGCATGCTGACTCAAACGCAGAAACAAGCGTGCTGTCATCTTTTGTGAATAATTTTATATAGCCTGACACCACAAAAGAGTAGAATTTAACAATCACATTTACATCTCATAGCTGGCATGTCAAAGATTCGAACCCGTAATCATCATACCATTGTCCTCATCGCTTCCGGGCCGTGCGGACAGGCTGCGCAGTGGCTCCTGATTCAACTGGTTTACTGCGCAGTTTTCCTGTTTTGTGCTTACAACATGGCGGATCGCATTGGACGCCGGGTGAGCACTGTTTGTGTGGAATTGGTGCGTGGCATGCTTACAAGAACAACTGTGAAAATTTGTGTGGACTGCCTCCAAGTGAGTCGCCTACCCTGGCAAACTCTGTTGACACCGAGCTCTGAGGTGGGTACCTCAGCCTCACAAGTGGCTTATAGGACGGATTTTCACAAATGATTGATGTTGCAAGAAACTCACCTGCATGCACGTATAAAGGACTAACTTACTTGGTGTTGCAGCATATATCCTGATCTTCAACTTCCCTAAGCTTAGCCTTAGCCCCTCTGGACTTCCCCTCAGAAACCACGTGCAACCGGGAGCCTTAATTCCTGCAATATTCAATCGTTATTAGTGTCCTGCCTGCACCTCAGAAATTCCTATATCCAAGATGGTATGTATCCCTTAGTATAACTGCAGACATGGACACTAGCTTCCAGACTGCCCTGAGACACTGGTACTTACTGGGCATGCACTGCCTGTTGCACACCGGGCCCACAGATCAAACCACTACAATTCCCCCCAGACACTGCCAAAAAATCTAAGATAAAGTGGAGGTCTTGTTTATGTTGGGCCTGCGGGGTCTCTAGGACACGAGCGACCTTACCAGTTTTCCCCCAGGTCTAAAATGTGAAAAAGTGGGGGGCCGTCTGTGATCCGGAAAGTCTTGCCCAGTTGGTGTTGTTTTAAGAAGAACGAGTGGCTCTTTCCGGGCCCCCCGTCCTTCGTTAAAAACTAGGCTCCCTTTTTTCTCCCTATAATTTCCCTAGTGTTTCCCTCTTATCGGCCTTTATACCTATTTTTAATTTGGGTTACATTATTATTATTACTACAGTTGCCTAAATACCCTTAATATTGTGTATATCGAAAATACCTACTCCTTCCCAAAAAGGGAAATCTTAAATTAAATAAGCTTACCAACAATCCCGCCAACTAGAGAAACTTTGTTTTGGGTGGGTATAAGGGGGCCCCCACCAGCCGTTCCCTTAGGCCGTCGGATCGGTCCTGTGGAAAATTTAGGGGCCAAATAATTTCCAATCCCCCCGCGGCGAGGTAGGCGCTAATCTAAATCAAGTTCCCCTTTCCCCAAGCCCCCCCGGGGACCCTGGACACGATTGCCGCTGGCCACTCTGTTTACAGACTCCCTCTAACTTCAACCCTCCGTTTCCCCTGGTGGACCTCGGGGGTGAAACTTGTTGGTTCCCGGGGGTCTTAGCACCCCTTTTCTTTAACTTTAAATCTTTCGTTGTCTAGCCTTGACTGAGCGGCTCCGTACTTTCCCACCCTTTTGGCCCCCCGCCTTGGTACCTTTCCTCCCCCTGTTTGAGGTTCCCTGGATTTAAAGGCAAATTTTTCCCTCTTTTCGTACCATGTAAAAGTGTTTTTCCCCCAAAGGGGCGAGTGTTCGCACTCCTCCGGTTCAGCTTTCCCGGCGGTTCATCGTGTATACTGGTATTCATTATCACTACTCCCCAGCTATCATGGGGACAGCTTCTCTTCTATCTGGCGTGGCAGGGAATTCAGGTGGAATCCTGCCGCCTATGATGTATCCTACTGGGGATCTGTATAAACCAATTCCTTCCTTAAACGTCCGTCGTGTAGACAGGAAGTCATCTATATGATTGGCTCCCACCAGGATACCTACATTTCTGACTGTGTCAGTGGTAATTCCCTGGTCTGCCAGCTTCACGTCAAGGTCTTTCAATCGCTTAGCTGCTGCAGCAAGACCTCTCACTGTAATTGCCCTGGGTAATGTCTCTACCACCAAGGCTGTAATATCTCTGTGATGTCCACCTAATTTGACGGTGACATCCACCACATCATAAGATTTGGGTGGGACCTGACTTATAGCCCCTCCCAACATCATACTAACTTTCTTTGTGGCCTTCAACTTTAATTTAGCCACCAACTTCTTTGTTATCAAGGATACTTGTGCTCCTGGGTCAAAGAATATTCGGGTTGTTTCGGACCTGTGCCCATTCACAACCTTTGCCATGACTGTAGGTAGGGCAGCACCTCCGTGATTCTCACTCGGATTAGAGACTTTACTCCCACTAATCATGCTGGTTACCATTTCAGGCTCGGACTCAGTTTCTATCTCTACCTGAGAGATATCCCTACTAGCCTGGGGTTCCCTTAAATTATTGGGACATAGTGCAGTATGGTGCTTACCTTTGCAACAGACTCGACACTCACTGAGCTGGGTGCCACAGTCTCTCGCAAAGTGTTCCCCACAACACTTGAAGCAGAGTCTCAACTCTCTTAGTCTCTGTTGCCTACTGCTCAGTGTTATATACTCCGAGCAACTCGTGCTAGCATGTTCGCCTTCGCAGAACACACATATTCTGGCATGAGTGCCTCTGAGGTTCTGCTTAGAGGTTCTTACCTTAGTACACTCCAACGTTAGTCGTACAAGCTTTAGACTGATCTCTCGAGATCTTTGAGTGACTGTCTGGGTTTTTATGTGGTGATGGTGGTGACTCCTCTCTCACACCTATACTCAAATGAGAAATGAGATCTCCCTACCCCTCAACAATTTGTTTTATCGTGAACCTATTCGTAAGATATTTTAAGTGTAACTCATGCACTGTAGTGCTAGCTAGTTTCCTCTGAATCACCTGACTGATGAACCATTCCGACTTACCCCAATCATGTAAATCTTAAAGACTATTCATCAAACTCATAACTTCAATTCGGAACTTCTCTAGGCTCTGACGGTCATGGCGACAAGCCTCTAGATCCAACAACTGATAAAGTATAGCTACCTTTATCTCCTCAGTGTTGCCAAACGTGACCTTTAATTGGTCTTTGGCATGCTTAATGCCTCAAATGATGTAGTGGAAGTTTTAGCAGTAAAGGTCGAGAACCAAAACCTAGTCATTGTGGTAGTCTACAAGCCTCCGGATGCAACATCCCAGCAATTCCAGGAACAGCTGTTAAAAATTGACCACTGTCTGGAAAATCTTCCAGCTCCTGCACCCAACATCTTGCTCCTGGGGGATTTCAACTTAAGGCACCTAAAATGGAGGAATATAGCAAATAATATTGTTGCAGTAATAACACCAGGAGGCAGCTCTGATGAAAACTCACACTCACACGAGCTTTTAAATCTCTGCACAAAATTCAATTTAAACCAGCAAATAATAGAGCCTACTAGAATGGAGAATACACTAGACTCATCTTCACTAACATGATGATCTGATAAGAAATGTCACCATATCAAAAACAGTATACTATGATCACAACATAATTGAGGTTCAGACATGTATGTGCAGAGCCCCAGACCGACAAAATGAGATTAGTCATGAGGGAGCATTCACCAAATTCAACTTCAATAACAAAAACATAAAGTGGGACCAAGTAAACCAAGTCCTAACCGATATAAGCTGGGAAGATATACTAAGCAACACAGACTCCAATTATGCCTAGAACAGATTAACTTGGTGGCAACTCGATGTATGCACAAGACTTATTCCTCTAAGAAAAAGGAGGAGTAGATGTAAAAATAGAAAGAGACAGGCGCTCTCTCTTTACAGGCGACGGAAAAGAATAACAGAGCGGCTAAAAGAGGTCAATCTATCTGAAATGCGTAGGGAGACACTGGTCAGAGAAATAGCAAACATCGAACTTAAGCTAAAGGAATCTTATAGGAGTCAGGAATCGCAGGAAGAACTAAAAGCCATAAATGAAATCGAAAGAAACCCAAAGTATTTCTTCTCTTATGCCAAATCAAAGTCGAGAACAACGTCCAGTATTGGGCCCTTACTTAAACAAGATGGGTCCTACACAGATGACAGCAGGAAATGAGTGAGCTACTCAAGTCCCAATATGACTCAGTTTTTAGCAAGCCACTAACCAGATTGAGTGTCGAAGATCAAAATGAATTTTTTATGAGAGAGCCACAGAATTTGGTTAACACAAGCCTAATCTGATGTTATCCTGACGCCAAATGACTTCGAACAGGCGATAAATGACATGCCCATGCACTCTGCCCCAGGCCAGACTCATGGAACTCCGTGTTCATCAAGAACTGCAAGAAGCCCCTATCACGAGCCTTTACCATCCTATGGAGAGGGAGCATGGACACGGGGGTCGTCCCACAGTTACTAAAAACAACAGACATAGCCCCACTCCACAAAGGGGCAGTAAAGCAACAGCAAAGAACTACAACCGATAGCACTAACATCCCATATCAAAAAAATCTTTAAAAGAGTCCTAAGAAGCAAGATCACCACCCATCTAGAAACCCATCATTTACAAAACCCAGGGCAACATGGGTTTAAAAGGTCGCTCCGTCTGTCCCCAACTTTTGGATCACTGAAAGGTCCTAATGCACTAGAAGACAAAAAAAATGCAGATTTTTATAACGTTTTTGCAAAACCCTTTTGACAGTGTGCCCAGGGTGTAATAGCGCAAAAAATGTGCAAAGGAAAACGGGAAAAGTCGGTCGTTGGATCTATTTTTTCCCTCACAAACAGAAAAACAGAGAGTAGTAGTCAACAGAGTAAAGTTGAGGCAGGCTAGGGTAAAAACCCTTGTTCCCAAAAGGGCACAGACTCCTCCCATTTGTTCCTCATCCTCTTTTCAAATGAAAAGGATGCGCC